TTAACAATGGTATCTCAGGAGATTCATCGAAACCAAGTTTCTCTTCGTATCTACAAGTCAACTTGAGCATAGGATGATTGCCGGAAATGTGATTCAGCTTGTCTTTGACACCGACGTTCACTTGCAGAAACGAGACCAAACCAACTCTATACCGCGAAAAAGGGTCGAGATTGAACCTCCAGCACCAAACGCACAACTTGCGCCGGTTTGCGGTTTATCTCCACCCCGACCTCGGCATCCAGTATGGCCAACTGTTCAAGACCGTTGCGACTGTTCAAATGAATAGTTCTGCTGAAGAAGCTACCCACAAAATGTTGCCGTTTTTTGCTTGGCTTGACTCATTTTGCCCCACTATCCTCGTCTCTATTCCAGTGTCGCCTAAAGAGCCTCTTGATTACAAAATATTTTTCAGGTTGACTAGTTTTTGAGATTATTTTGGTACTACTTAAAATAAAGCCTTGAGTCAACTCAGGTGGCATACAGTGATTTAAGGATTGATCGTGTACTTTTTCCCACAATAAAACGAGTAGACAAGATGGTACCATTCCAGTTAACTTGGGCTTGCATCTCTAAAGGTCTTCATTTTTGTACTAAACTGGAATCTAGTTTTAACCTCGGCCAGGTCGTATCAGCAGACCCGATCGGATTATAAACTGGGTCGTGAACATTGAGTTGGCATAACACCACCAATAGATACTACTCTCATCGAAATTAAGTACTGTAGCCCATTTTAATGGCAAACAAAGTTTGTCTCAATATTATATCTCATTATACAAATTGGAGACGGAATGGGCCTGGTTTGTTGTGAAAATACAGTAACCCTGTGACCAATTTGCATCTGTAGCTGTGTAATAGACTCAACCTCCTATCTCGTTGAGAGGGTGGATGCGACTCTGAGAAGATCATAACTGCCGTTAAGCCCGGGGTTGCGATCGAGTATAATTCAATGGTGCCATAAGACCATGCCATTATGGAAAGTTCACTTATCAGTATTGTTGAGCTTACTTCCATTTCGAGTAAAAGTGTTGGGTGAAAAGATTACAAGGTTGGTTCCACCAGAAGACGACCAGCCACGGATTCCTCTTGACCAGCTGTTTCCGATGTGATAGGTACTAAGCTTTCGTCCATCACATGACGAACATCATCAGAGCATCGAGGGTATCGTCGTCACAACCAAATTCAAGCTAACGATTCAAGAAAACTCACCGGCGAATTCCTAAAAAGTGGTACACATACTTTACATCTGGCTTACTTGATCAGGTATAAAGTGATTTGGTTAGTTACGGTCATATGTCAACTTCGAAGCCTGTGAGTGTGTATATCTCTGTATGTGTATGTGGCTGTTTGTGCTCGCCTGTGCTAAATATAGTATGTTTGAAGCTAAACGTAAAATTAGAGAAACCATAAAAATTACCGAATAGGAAATACTTTGAATGTGAGGAATGCCGGCAAGAAGATAAGTAAAAATTGCTTGTGCTTAATTGATAGACTGAAGGAAAGAGAGCGAGTTGAGACGCCTGCAAAAAGGAGGCGACGCAACTAGTCTTTTCTTGTCTTTGTTCTCACTCTTTCTCTCTCACATTGAAACCCAAAATAAAAAATCGGCTCATCTACAAGACAAGAAGAGCGTCCGACCTTGCGCAATCGGAGTGATGGTTATAACATGTTTGTAGAAAGGGGGAAATAGGCGTCATCAAACCTTGATGGCTGAAAAAAGACGTTCCTTTTTGCTTTCCTTTTTTACTTTGAGTCATTACTTCGGTTTTGTGCATAGGCGAACACAAACTGGCACATACAAGTACAGACACATACACACTCACATGCATAGAAGTTGACATACGTGCGTAATCAACTAAATCACTTTGTACTTGATCAAGATGTAGAGGATGTATACCACTTTGTGTGGATTTGCCGTTGAGTTTTTTTGAATCTTTAGCTTGAATTTGGTTGTGATGTTTGTCATGTGATGGACGAAAACTTAGCACCTGTCACATCGGAAACAGCGTCAGCATGAATGTTCCAGTAACGCCGATCAAGAGGAATCGGTAGTCGTCTTCTGGTGGAACCGACCTTCGAATCTCTTCACCCAACACCTTCACTCGAAATGGAAGTAAGCTCAACAATAAGTAATCTAGTCAATTGCTATAGCAAATACAACTTTGAGCAGAATGTGAATTGGCAAAATGCCTGGCCCTCTCTGAAAGTGACATCTGCCCTGCAACTCAAAGCCACTTTGGGCAATGTGGCACGGTATGTGCTTATATGTTGCACTACCACAACGCGGGTTCGAGTCCCGGTGAGGGTTCCGATGAGACCAATTCGGGCGAGGTGAAAGCCGCAATCCAGTTCACTCAGGTCGGAAGGAGAATATCTTTTAAAGAACGTAAGCTCGACTCATCTGCTTGCGGGCAAATCGGCCTAGCACTCCTTTATCATCTTAACCGAAATGGCGTTTTGCAAAGATGCAACCACAACTCGATCTGCTCCCTTCGCTCTACTTACCGAGCCTGCTCCAGGTCCCGGTTGACCATTGTTCAATCGGTTGGTGGGTTGTTGCATCAGGATCAGGCCAATCAGCTGATTGGCCTGCGCTGCTGCCTTGGCAACCGTCAGATGGACACCGTCCGCGCGAGCGGCGGAGAGCAGCGCCACTGCGTCCGATTGTGCAGAGCCGACGAGCGTCTGGCCCTCAATCGCCAACAGCTGGTCGCCCGGAGACAGCCGGCCGTCGCGATGGGCAGCACCATTCGGTACCACGGCTTTGACGTAAATGCCGTACTGCTTCTCCGGGCCCTCGGCCTGCATGTGTGAAGGGGTGGGAAAGTGAAGTAAGTGACAGTTAAAGATTCGACTGAAAATTGTGTGCAGAAATGACCCTCGTAGCAAAGTGGCCGTCTCGTGGACAACCGAAGGTGATTGGCAACCGGCGGCATGTACCAATTTCGAATGAGACATGATGCAAAAGGTGGTTGGAAGGACAACCCGGAATTGGTCTTATCGGATATCGAAAAAGTGCCTTAAATTTGGTGCGTTTTTTCGTAAATTATTGCTTCTCGCAATCCTCCTTCATCTTTCCGTAAGGTCATTTCACCAACTCCTTCCAACCAGATTCTGTTCGAAATAAAAAATCAAGTCATATTGTGGATTATTTCCAAACAAGACCTCGATACGCTTCTTTGCGAGCCCGATCTATCCACATTTGACCAAGATAAGTGGTTTGATGAATTGGTGTAAATGCTGATTTCCGGCTCTGGCAACGTTTGTCACGACGGGGCAGAAGATAATCATAAAAACGGAAAAGTGAATACAGAGTATGCAGATGTTGATGAAATCCTCAGCTACTGGCTCCCTATTGTAATTGGATGATGCGTGTGTGCCAGAGGTCCAATGGTGACAAAAATAGATCGGAGGAGTTACCTAAAAAAGCTGTATCATTAAGAGTTAAAAGCAAATGGTGGTTGATGGTCTCGACGGAAATCGAGGCAAGACGCTTGGTTAAAGAAAAAAAACGATATTTAAATGCCGTATGTGCAGGGGAATAGAAGTCCGAAAAAATTTGCAGATAACTTTATTAATTTGATTTTGTACATTTTTCATCCTTTACACAAAATTTCGCATCTTTTTGACAGCCGATGAATTGAGCAAAGCTGTCCTAATCTTATTGAGTTCAAATTAACCGCATTTCAATCTGTATCTTTATATATATTCATCTCATTTTGTCGTTTTTGTGAGTTTATATTGCATGAGAGTGAAGACCGATTAATCTCCTTGCCTTTGCAATAACTTGTAGTTGTATATTAGAATACGATAAAGTCGGAATGCTCTCTGAAAATTGGCATAAGTAAACTTTCAGCTCTTGTTCACCACAACTAAAGGGGACTATATCATTGACTATGTCTATATGAACGTTAGACTAACATGTAACGGCTGCAGAAGAACGGGAATCCGGCATCGTCTTCTGATAAGATCGACAGACTCGAAACTCTTTCCCTAATAGACTGTCACACGAAATGAAGTTCACCAGGTCACAGTTATCCGCCGTATACAAACTATCAGTAAATTGTGAAAAGTCACCCTCGATCGCGTGAGGTGATGAAGAATTGCTAGCTGAGTTTTCCCACAAACACACATGTAGACAGCATAGCCAACCTACTCATTATGCATTTGAGTAATGCAGTCTGTTGTAACGGCAAAATACAAGTTTGCCTCATCAGCAATCCCATCATAAAAGTGGTCTGAAAGAGGCTTGGCGTTAAAATTCACGTTTGCCCTACGAGCCTGGCCGCCATAACACCTAGCTTGAAAGTATACATTGCACCACCAAAATCTGAGTTCGAGTCCTTCTGGGAGCGGAGCGGAAACTGTAGTCCGTTTCAATTTGGAAGAGTATACCGTTCAGGAAGCAAGATTGGCTGTAATTCAATGGGACTGTAAGTCATTCGAAGTTTGGAACATTCATCTGTCTCTTCTTCATAAAGAAGCGACTTAAGCAGAACGGATATCTTCTGTAACAGATCTCAGACAACTTTGTCTCAAAAGAATGGTTCGCGTTTGTGCGATCCTTGCATGTTGACATGCATAAACAGGCCTCACACAAAATGGGAGCACCTTAACACTAAAAGGATATACGAAAATGTAGGGTTTCAGGGAATATCGTTAGCTTAATTCCGTTTCTAGTGAAAGTGTGCAAAAGGCATGAAAAGATTCGAAGGTGGATCCCACCAGAAGACGACGGGAGATTCCACTCGGCTGGTCGTCGGTTGGCTTTACTGGAGCAATTTTGGTGAAAACATGCTAGGCTTTATTTCACTTTCCAATTCGGCTCTCGAGAGTACCAGTAGATTTTGAATAACAACCTGGTTTCCCCTATTTGTTCAACATGATTAAGGAGTGGTAGCTGAATTTTGCATTAAATTTCACACAGCCTTTCTTCCCAAAAGGTTGCGGCAAGTGTGAAATGTCATTTTGACCTCGCCAAAATTGGTCTCTTCAACACCTCCAACGGCACTTTACTAGCCGGGTTCGAGTCCCGTTTGGGGTGCTGATGAGCCCAGTTCAGGCGAGTTAGAATCTCCACTCCACTTGAAGAGGCAAGACTACGTGAAATGCAATGGAACGATGAGGGCTTCTCGTCAAATTTTGGGAAAAGCCAATTATCAGTCCTCAATCAACTGAAACAAAATAGAGTGAACAAAGTACTTGTGCCAATTCGTCATCTGACGTACATCATCAGAGCATAGTATCAATCTCTCAACCAGATTCCTAATAAAGAGTAAACAAAAGTCACCGGCTTCTCCCTACGTGTGTATATGTGTATTTATAATAAATCTGTTTTTGATGATATAAAATGATTTGATGATATATTGAAAGAAAACGCGGCTCTCGAAGA